ACGAACATACTTATAAAGTTTCAGTTTTATCTACCATCATGACTTATAATAGCGGGCTAAGGGTTGTTTGTGTGTTTTTGTGTGTGTAAGTCTGTCGGTCTATCACGGAATTCGTAACGTTTGCCAGCCAACATCTTGAGCCCGATTTTTGCACAACACCTGTCTCCAGCATATAGGTCCATTATACCAAAGCACAAGCGGATCCGTTTAACGGATCCTTCGAAAATCACACGTCAAACTTTTTTCTTTTCTTTTCAGCCGCAAAAGTAGGTCGGTATGCAAACTTTTCGCAAAGTAATATGTTCAGCATATGAATCCGCAAAATATGCCCGCATGCGGAAACAGCGCCAAAACGTGGCAACTGCTCACTTTTTCGATTTCCGAAGGTTCTACTAGACGAAATTGAAAGATTTTTGCTCAGAGATGTAGCTATCAGATTATCAGTTTCCATAATTGCAACTATTGAGTTTTAAGAAGTTTACTATTTATTCTGAAAAGGTATTGTCGAATTATTTGTAACTTAATATGCGTAGTGCACACCATACACGCTGACTGACGGACGCGAAACTAGAACCTGCTCATTTCCAGTAATTTTTCCTTGTTTCCTTGTTTCTTTTGTTTAAGTTGGTTATATGTTAGTCAGTAGAACACATTTCTACATTTTGTTAGGCTAGAAAATGTTTTACTGGGAAGTTACTAGTATGGGTGTCGTCGCTAATAGGGCTTAGTGCAATCTCACATATTAAGTTACAAATGACTCAGGGTTATTTGTTCTTCATCTGAAAGAGCCTTTTCATATAAAATTACCGGTTACTTGAGACAGAGCATTTAAAATGAAAAGCTTTCCACATTTTTATGATGCTTGGTGAGTTTTATTGCTAACTTAACACAGGAGAAAAGCAGGACTTTTAAAGCTCTGGCAGCACACGTGTCAGACCTTTGGACAGAGGAGCAGTTTGAGTTTGCAACGCATGAATTAGTCGAAAGACACCACCAAAAACGTGTACATGACATACGTAGGCTCCGCACAAAGTGTAAGCGCAATATCACCGTAATTGTTGGGATTTTGTGAGTAGTATTTAACTTTAATTAACTGCTACACAGCCCCTACTACACTGAAAAGTACTTGAATCTTCTAGAGTATGTTAGTAAACGTTTTAGCCGGAAGTGTGAAATCAACTTTTTTTGAAAGAGCTACGAACAAAGCAATGAGCGTTTGAAAATATTTGCACCAATATTTAAATACAAGGTGCATCTCTATCATGACTTATAATAAAGGGCTAAGGATGTTTACGTGTGTGTGTGTGTGTGTGTGTGTGTGTGTGTGTGTGTGTGTGTGTGTGTGTGTGTGTGTGTGTGTGTGTGTGTGTGTGTGTGTGTGTGTGTGTGTGTGTGTGTGTGTGTGTGTGTGTGTGTGTGTGTGTGTGTGTGTGTGTGTGTGTGTGTGTGTGTGTGTGTGTGTGTGTGTGTGTGTGTGTGTGTGTGTGTGTGTGTGTGTGTGTGTGTGTGTGTGTGTGTGTGTGTGTGTGTGTGTGTGTGTGTGTGTGTGTGTGTGTGTGTGTGTGTGGGTGTGGGTGTGTGTGTGTGTGTGTGTGTGTGTGTGGTGTGTGTGTGTATGTGTGTGTGTGTATGTGTGTGTGTATGTGTGTGTATGTGTGTGTGTGTGTATGTGTGTGTGTGTATGTGTGTGTGTGTATGTGTGTGTGTGTATGTGTGTGTGTATGTGTGTGTATGTGTGTGTGTGTGTATGTGTGTGTGTATGTGTGTGTGTATGTGTGTGTGTATGTGTGTGTGTATGTGTGTGTGTATGTGTGTGTATGTGTGTGTATGTGTGTGTGTGTGTGTGTGCGTGTGTATGTGTGTGTATGTGCGTGTGTATGTGTGTGTGTATGTATGTGTGTGTGTGTGTGTGTGTGTGTGTGTGTGTGTCACGAAATTCGTAGAACGTGTTCCAGCCAACCTCCTGAGCCCAAATTTTGTACAGCGCATGCTACCAGCATGAGAGTTCACTGTACAGAACCAAGAGAGGATCCGTCGCGTGGATCCCTCAAAAAATTTGATCAGATCCACTTGACTTTCGGCCAGTAAAATCGAGCCTGTAGCACGACTTTTTGCAAAGTCATGGATATGTTTGACAGTTAATGTGCACGCCATAGACTTTACTAAAATATCTAACCAAAGTTTATTACTTTGCGAAAACGGTGCCAAAAAGAATTGGTTGCCTAAATGTCCAATTTTTCCAAGAGGTTTCCCGATCTGAGAAGATTTTTGCACAGAGCTGTAGCCCACAATGACTGTTGTACCCTATGGCGAATACCAAGCCATGAAAAGTTCAAAGACCGATTCAAATTTGCATTTGTTCTTTTGGGATAAGTTTCATTCACGCGAAATTACCGATCTCAGAAAAGCTTTTGGAATGAGTAGTTGTTTACAAATCATTCGTGATAGTCCGCCTAGCGCGGTGAGTTTCAATGCCATTATGGTGCGGGAATGAATAAGGCATTCAATTAGTAGGACCAGTGCGAGCCTCTGCGAAGCAGAGTTGACGCACTGGTATATATAAAACTCAAAAATTGTCTGTTTGGAGGGTGTGTGAGTTATAGAAGCTCGCGCCGCTCAACCGATTGGGCTGAAACTTTGCATACAGATGTTTTCGACCCCGGAGACGGTTTTAGGATACTTTTTACTGAATTCGCGGGCTCCTTTTATCGATTTATTGATTTTTAGCACTTTGCAATGATAGTGAACTCATATCATTTGCTATCAAACCAGCTCTACAGAAATATGTAAACATGACCAGCATGTCTCATTTTGAACCTCTGTTGGTGAAGTGCACTGAAAAGTGTTTTTGGTGTAAGTTTTGATGTTGTCCATGAGCACTATATTTTATGCAACGATCGAGTTTAATGCGCAAGATCATTACCGCATGTACCGTAGTGGGTGTTTTGTGCAAAGGAATGCTCCACTTACAGTTGAAATCAACACTTCCTTTGTCAGATTTATGAACAATAGTAGGGTCGAGACTCATGAAATGGGCAAGAATTTGCTGCATTTACAGAAAGTCTGAGAATATCTAAGCGCCTGTTTTATATGATGTAAACATCTACTTACTTAGTCATAATGAGAAAGGAGTATCACCAGAATTAGAATCCTGTTGTATCCAAAATCAGCTTTAAGCATTGCGGTGAGCGGAGCGATAAGCCGCTTAGCAGCAAAGCAGCAAAGAATGAAGTTCATTATTGTCAGAGTCATTATGGTACTCATCTCTTCTTTGCATGTCAAACTACAATGCAACTTGCTCTGCACAGTTTTCAAAGTCGTTTCAATTTTTGGAGTCGCTTACATTTTGTTAGAAAGCAATTGTTAGAGATAGAATAATTCTTACTCTTTACTATCTGTCTATTCCTTCACAGTTACTACGATTGCGCACATACACTTCGGGGCGGGATAGGTGTCGTAGGCTCTTTTCCATTGTCGATCGATATCGATTTTATTAATTTTTTTGCGAACTTTGAACTACGGGACTGGGAGTTTGTACAGGGGGGGGGGGTAAGTGAGCATGCTGATCATGAGTACAAGATTAGTTTTTCGAAGCGTTGGTTACCTTTATCGACTTAGTTTGATTTTTTGCAACGTTTGGGGCATGGGGTTGGAAGGGCACTAGGAGCAAGGCATGCTGATTACAAAAACATAATGAATGGTGGGGAAAGGGCCGGCAAATGTGCAAAAAATTGGAAAAGGCAACCATCACAGTGTTTGACAGGGCCGGGCGGAGCCGGGTACGCCAGCTAGTGAAAACATAAGCTTGAAATCAGAAATATGATACTATCGTGAGTGCAATGTCTCATTCGATTAAATTAATCGGAGCGGTAGCTTTCGTGCGCTCTACGCACAGTCATTCTCAACCCGATGTAGCCAAGGTATCTTACCATGAAACCTGCCTCTCATTTAATGAAAGTTTGAGAAGTTAAGGAAAAGAAGAGATATGCACTTAGTCGTCATAGGATGCATCCACCTCTGTAAACGTAATGAATGTTGCAAAGCGAGAGCGCATCGTCTTATGAGTGATTGAAAATGTAGTGTAAATTATTTCACCCATGCAGGGGTTATCTAAGACGTTTTGTTTTTGGATGACCATACTTTGCAGATTTTAGCGGTTTAGCTCTGTTGTCGTGTTGTTGAGCATCACAGTCAATATCCGTGCAGTTTCTCTTAAGTCATCGCGAAATTTAGCACTAATAACTGTAACAACTAACGGTTAGCGGCATCACCCGTTATTATAATGCACCGGTAGCGCCTGCAAAGCTGAGACAAAAGGAGCACTGAAGAGTCCTTGAGATTATAGTACCACAAGCTGAAATATAACCAATTCATTTTTTTTGTGGTAACCTTCACATGGAATCTATACTCAGAGATGAGCGTGCGCAAACGGGCTGCTAGAAACGCAAGGCGTTTGTAGATTGGTTAGTGAAGAACTATCGGCTGTCATTAAGTCTAGCTATGACAAATCATTATGAAAGAAAATTAAACTTGTTTTAGATAGAGGTCCCTAAAAACTAACCGCTTCCCTTTAGCTGCAGTCGAAGTAGAAACAAAACGGCTTTGGCTTTGCCGCTCTGCATCTTGAAGCGGTCAAATTTCTTGTTCAATAAAATAAAGATTGTTTTTTTTTCTTTGGTTCTTCCCCTGCCCAATGGACACTACTGGTCGAGCATCATGCTTTGCACCTTGTTCCTTGCTTTCTTTACAATGTGACATATTCCGGGGATTTACTCACGGGACTTAGAGACTCCGTCCTTATTGTCGCTGTAGCAGGAAAAGGCGAAAATTCGAATAATACAATGGCGTCATGGTCTTAGTAGCAGTTTTTCTCGTTTTAGTACATTTCTTTTAATAAGGATATTCTTACCTTTACATAAATCCGTTGCCGCAAAGTTCGTACATTTGCTTGCTAATGTAGCCATCTGCTCTTTTCTACTGACTTTTTTGCGAACTCGAAAGCGAAGAGTAAGTACATTCATGCGTCAAGATATACAACATCCGACAAACAAAATCAACACTGTACAGACATGAGATCGATTATGGAGCCTTGAGGTACGCGTTACTGTAAAAATGTACTTTCAAAGAGCATCCCAACGGTCAGTAACATCGAGAAGAGTAGGGTCGTTATGCTTCAATGTCTTCCTAGTGAGCGTACATGTAATGTGAGATTTAGCAGGACACACAACACAATATAGATCAGCGAAGTCACACGGTCGTCTCAATCTTGTGGGTCATCCGCTTGCGATCCAGCGTACTGCTGAAAATAGAAAACTTGATTGCGATTCTGATGGCATCGAATCTTTTATTTCGACGGGATGGAAAAAAAGGAGAGTAGATGTTCTCCGAATGAAGGCTTTCAGAATTTCTAGGGAGATAAAATCCATAAAGGAAGTAAAAACTCGCAAATTCGCATAATTTTACCACTCATCTACAACATATTCATAGTAATAGTTTTAGTAGCAAAAATTTCAAAACAGGCACATAGTTGAGGGCAAAGACCATATGTGTATGTGTATCTTTGATTCAACTGGTTTAGCTCCGTAGGGCAGGCCGCTCGCGCCCGCGACGCACCTGCGTCTCTCGCGCGCGAGTGCTCTCTGATCATTACCTAGCCTTAATTAGGTCACTAAGCCTCGCCTTTGCCGAAGCTCAGCCAGTTGAATCAATGTATGTGTATGTGTATGTGTATGTGCCATTGCACACCAGTACGAATACGCTCAAAATCTAGGCATAACAAGTGGCAAAGGGTTGAAGGACATTCATTGTTTCCGCCATAACCAGCCGTGCCCGTGAAGATATAGAAACCAAGAGAAAGCTCTCTGGCTAGTGCACGATTTTCCACTTGCGTGATGTGGTGTAAATGTACGTATGCTAATGACAGAATCCTTTTGCAATATTGAAAATTTTCGCTCTTGATTGTTTATCGCTAAGAGCAAAATATTGAGTTCTACGATAACTGTCTTTTGTACTGAAACTGAAACCGGTGGAAAATGGCAAAACTGAGCTAGAAGTAAAAAACAAAGTAGACCAATTTGGAAAAGATGGCAAAACTTTCTTTCTTTTCGTTATTGGATGAAGTAGATAGTTGTAACACGGTAAATAATATTGCGTCTAATGTTAGTTCTACTTTGTTCCACACTTCTTGCGTCTCAATCGTCCCCCCCCCCTTCCTCTCCTCCCCCTCCCACCTCTTCTTCCCTTGACCCCCGCCCTTCTTTCCTTCCTGAAAGCTTTCCTTTAAGAAGGCCAATAATTGTGTAATTCGCTTTTCTGACTTCCACAAAAGAGAAAACTTACGTAGTTTGAACGCCAGCGTCGAGCGAGTTGGGTAATTCAACCGGAATAACAGCTGGATTATTCAATCCACCCCATGATCGTCGCTTTGCTTCACATTTTTCTTGTGAAGGTTTTGGCAAATCGTCCGCACAAATCCGATATTCCTCGAGTTCTTCCTGGAATTGTGGATTAAATCCTTTTTCGAAAATTTGAAAAAAATTAACTTGCCTTCAACTGCTGAAGCTTTAGAGAATTAGTCCGTGATCGCATTTTCACAGGTGATCCAATTTCAGACTCTGTTATGGGTTGAACACTCTACAAAAAAGAAAGATAATTGTGGTTGATTCTATCATTTGTTTTTAGAAAATAGTCATTAAATTTAAATTAAGCAAAAGCTAGCTTATTACCATAGCCCCACTTGCTAAAGTTTTTTTTCAACAATTTTGAATTCTTCATTCAAATTGGACCGTTCGAGATACAGTGAAGCTATAGACGTTTCATCGCATGTAGAGAAAGGACGCAACTGCGAGCGCGTCGGCGTCTCTCAGCTCAAACGTACTTTCATTCCTCTAACCGTCTGCTGTCTCCCCAATATGCTTTGACTTGATCGGAAGCAAGAGCGTCCAGTCACTGCTTGCGATGAATAGCATATACGATTACAGTCGCTTTGCCAGCAGATCCGTGACCGCGACGCGACCGCACGCAAGTGAAGTTTTGGATTCTTTTCTTGAAGCTTTGTTTTTTGTTCGCACTTAATTTAATCTTACTTTTACAAAACTTATAGATCATACTATGCAAATGTTTCAAAAATTCACAGAAATGCTGTACAACTCATATTGATTTATATTCATTTTGCCGCGTGCGCTTGCGGCGCGGTCCAAAAAGGCACGCAGAGACTATAAACGCAACTGAACTTACATCGGCCTTCAGTGTTTCCGCATCATCTCGGCTCCCCTCGGGAAAATCGTACTCGTTCATGATCCTTTTGTGCCTATCCAACAACCTGCGTATTTCATCGATATAGTCTTCAGGAAGTCGCTCCGGGTCAGATTTTCGTCTAAAAGAAATTTCTGGGTTTATATTCGAGAAAATTTTTTGGGTTTTTGGCTGCTTACCGATGGCTTCTCCAATTATCAAAACATGATGCTAAGCACTGCGTAGCAATTAGGACTAGTGCTAGAAATAAAGCTGTGAATAGGCAACCGGCCAAGATCTCAGTGGCTTGCCATTCGATCATGACTGAAATAGAATTTTGAGTCAATAATACAGCTAAACGCGATTAGTTGGCTGGAGAGTTAATACGATGATTTTGTAACTTTCAATGTGTTCAAATAGATGAAGAAGAAAAAAACGAGGACGAAAAAAGCGCTTTATGCTTAGGTGAAAGGCAGATAGACCATTGTTGGAAGCAAGGTCAACATGCAAAAAATGACCTTCCAATATTCAGAGAGATTGAATCCCACTGCCAGCGAACTCTGTAACAAATATGCTCTCCATCCTAACCGATAGTGATGGAAAAAATCTTTGGGAGATAAAAGTTTCTTTTCGAATAAAGAGATGTAACGTTAGCGAAACCTACCAAAAAATTTTTTTTCAAGGTTGAAGTTTCCAAAATCTTACCACAGTTATACACTCAGATTAAAAAAGGAAGTACGCTCGAAAAAATCTTTACAAAGCTAATTCGAAAGTCCCGAATTTTACAGTTATTCTTATGCAGTTCTATAATTCGTGTATACAACATTCTTATCCGGACCCATTCAGTCCGCAATGACCCTTGCACTACGTAGCTATCCTTATACGGGTTGCTCTAGTTATATATACGCACTGTAGAACTCAACCAGTCTTCAAAGAACTGCCAAATTGTCTACCCTTACTTGCGAAGGAAGAAGAAGAATGTGAACTTTTGTGTGATAAAAAATGTATTTTTAGAGAAAAGTGGGAAATCCGTGTGTGTAAAATTTTATAATGATAGTGGCATGAACTGCTGACGTGAGGGCAAACATGTTCAACAACAGCCTAGAAATATCCTAAAGTTTAAAAGAGTTCAGAAATTGTGGTTCTGGCATATTAGGGTCAAATCAAAAATTTCTAAACTACGTTTCTGTCCTTAATCATTACACTAAACGTGGTGAGAGATAGGATGCCCTGGCTGGAAAGGGGAGATGAGAAGAAAAGAGTAAGAAATTGTTAGTGCGATTCGAAAACGATGGCCACCTTCCTTAGGTACACACATATTTGTCGATTCGAAGTTTGCAAAAAAGACTGAGATTCAAAGGGCAATACAAGGAAGATTTCTTTAATTATAAACAAGATTCAACTCCTCTTCTTGACTACTTTGAAGAAAGAGAACTTTGCGCAGGTCCATAGGCTAAATTTTTCAAACTGAAAGAATAGTGAGGTGGCAAAAAGAATGAGCTTATTCATATTTGAATATCAAAGAAGTAAGCAAACGTCATACACCAATTATTCTAAGTAATCATGACAATGGCGGACATAGTTTTTTGAAGAGGAGCAGGATGGGAAAAGGGGCGTGGCGGAGGTCCGAAATCTCCCAAAGATCGGATGATCCTCAAATTTTCGCAAACTCATATCCTCAACATTTAGAATGAAAGCGAGCGTAGCATTATTTACTTTACAAATTACTTTGAAGCAAAAAGTCAAAACATTTGCGAGACTTCACAAGAAAATTTTGCGATTTAGTCTCAAAGATCAGAGAGGTTATCATCTCAGTTCGCATCGAGACCTACACGTTCGAATTACTTCAAAGATAGCGTGAAGGTAATAGTTCACAAAAAAGAGAATGGATGATGATGCGTAGATAAGAAAAATTTCGCATAGAAACGAGGAATATCGCTACCTTTCATGACGCAAAAAAAAGGAAAAAAGATCCGATAATCGCGACCAATTCTTTTTCCAAACCGAAAAAGAACTTGAAAAACAAGCCATCCTCGAATATTTGAGCAAACAGTGATGAGCACTTGAGACCGATCGCGTATGAATTGCAAATGCGATTCTGGTTTTTTGTCCCCCCCCCCCCCCCAACTGTGCGGATGCTGCTGCATATGCGCGTTCAAATATCGTCGTCTGAGGATGACCTTTTCGGGAAAATGTCGTCCATGCTTAGTGCAAATGTCAAGAAAACCAATATAGGTCGATGAGAAATGTTTGTGAGTTCACCGTATCCATTTTTGATTAATACGCGATTTTTACATGCAGTTCGGGCCCGAAAGTCCCATAAATGATGATAAAAATGATGCATATGAGAAATGTGCGACCAGGATATCAAACACGAATGGACAAGGACTGGCGGCGGAGAGAGAGAAAAGGCTAGGGAGCAAAATTTTTGAAAATTACCTACAAGTTACAGATAAGGACATAGGTTTTATGCAGCATGACTGAAAAATTGTTCCGGTCGCTTCTACGATTTGGAGATCATATTACTCAATGATTGTTGTATTTGTGTAAGATCATCGAAAAGAGTAGTCAAGAGAAACTACCTGGCCATTACTATTCAACAAAAATAGTGTTTTTAAGGGCAAAAATGGTGCAGAAATGAGATATCAGGTGGTCCGGGAATTAATACAGGTTTTGAATTCCCACCGCAATAAGCCATACACTTCTCATTTCTAAGTAGGTTTCAAAACACCATTTGATAGAACAAAGCAAGCTCTACAAGATGGCTATTTTGCTTTAGCAACAGCTCTGATCCACCTCGAGTCTCGAGCCAACTAAAAAGATTCAACTGCCCGAAAAAGTGAGAAAAATTGTAACCCAGTTAATAAAAATCCTACAGAAATTCTTACTTGCTCACGTAAACACTATCCACATAAAACATCTATATACGCCGTTGCCGTATTTTTTTCCCTGTTGAAAATCAAGAAAACGGAAATTTTCGTGCATTTGCCAAAGTTGTGCTGTGCCGTTCCCACATAAGTAGATGTATACTACAAAGCTGTAGAAGTACAGATGTAAATATTCACAGCTCTCTACAAGCTTTAGTTCTCAGGAAATTTGAATTTTAGTTTGGACCACACGATCACGGAAAACTGTGTCCGATATTTTTCGAGAACTAGAGCTGGTAGAGAGCTGGGAATTCACGTTTGTACTTCTACAGGTTTGTAGTATACAACAACTTATGTATGAACGGCACAGCATCACTTTGGCAAATGCACGAAAATTTCCGTTTTCTTGATTTCTAACAGAGGAAAAAATACGACGACGGCATATATAGATGTCCTATGTGGATTGCGTTTACGTGAGCAAGTTAAAATTTTTGTAGGAATTTTATGGAGTGAGTTACGATTTTTCTCAATTTTTCGGGCAGTTAAATCTTTTTAGTTTTTGGCTCGAAACTCTTGGTGGATCAGAGCTGTTGCAAAAGCAAGATGGCCATCTTGTCGAGATTCCTCTGCTCTATCAAATGGTATTTTGAAACCTACTCAGAAATGAGAAGTGTATGACTTATTGCGGTGGGAATTCAAAACCTGCATTGATTTCCGGACAACCTAATACCAAGACCTAAAAATTTCGGAAAAAATATGCTTCAAAAAGCAAACCGAGTGGTTGTAAAAATTTGCGAAAGTGTTTAGCGCTTGTAGGTTGAAATAACAAGAGAGCAAAACCTGCAAATTTAGAAAAGTAGTGTCTTCAGCACTTGTTCTTATGAAAAAAATGCATATTTGCAGTTTGCCACGTAATTCAAAATACTCCACGAACGACAAAAATAGCATAGTCCTGTTTGTAATATGCAAATAGCCGTTCCACGATAGTACACAATGTGCAAATTTATATTTTACTGAAAGTGCAAAGTTATAGTGCTATAAATTTTTAAACTGTCGCGGTGACAATCAAAATATTGTCATATAAAATTATTTCCTTTTCAATGTATGAAAGGGTGAGAACAAAGGTTTTTCTGATCCAGTACAACACGCTTCTCCAAAAATGTCAATCATCAGCCTCTATCAGGACAGCTGCTTGAAGGGCGAATAAAAGAAATATTCTGATGGACATGGCAGAGAAGAAAGGAGATGGAGCACTTGAGCCAAAACTACTTGTCATTTTAAAAGGTCAAAGTTCAAACGCAAACTTTCATCATGCAGACGAGTACAGGGGACCAATCAGGGGGGGGGGGGGGCTTAATACTACGACTCAAGAAAACCAAACTACTTTCTGGACACCATCCTCTACACAAATTCATAAGTGGTTGGGTAGAGAAAATGACATCGTCAGTTGGCTACGTACGGTGGGCAGCTGACACAATTTGCGATGCACATAAGCTCACGGTTTGTGCCAGACTTGCGCGATACCAACGCGGTACCGATAGCGGACCGAGAAGAGGACGCTGCCACCCCTTCCTCCTCAAAAATGAATCGTAAATTTTTGAAAGTGGTCTGCATGGATTAATAACCCTCGCAAAAGTTGTTTTTGCTTCAAATGATTGATAGGATTTTTTGAGAAGTATCGAAATTCAAACTGACTGCTTTAAATATCATATTTTCCAAATTCCGATTAATGGCCCGAAAACATATAAAATGCATCACATAATTTTAAATTACTGGCTTACGCCGCTCCCCTTCATGTGGAAAATTTCCATCGCGCCACTCTCTCCCGAAAAAAAAAACTCGATACAGCCACTTCCAAGTATATACTGTTTGATTCAACTGGCTTGACGGCTGGAAGGCGGGGCTTCGTGACCTAATTACGGCTAGGTGATGATCAGAGAGCATGAGCGCGACAGAGACACAGGCGTCGCGGGCGCGAGCGACCTTAATTAGGTCACAAAGACCCGCCTTCCAGCTGTTAAGCCAGTTGAATCAAAGTTATGTTTATAGCTGTCTTGCAAGAAAATTTGATTTTCAGCGTTGTTGTCCATCCGCTATTCCAGGATGATTCTGAAATTCGAAGATCGAATGTTCTCTTTACGATGACCCAAAATTCCGAAATTCTATTGGAAAGTACAAATATTTAAAAATGTAATACGATACTTTATAATAGCATTCCTATGTGGGAAGTCAAAATATAAAACAAACCCGAACATTTTTGGGGTCTTGCGAAATTATGGCATAACGACAAGATAAGTGAAAATTTTTACAACATGTCACACCTAGAATTCTGTGAAATGAAGAACGTGGCCAAAAAAATGTTTCTCACTTCGCTGAATCAATAGCGCACTTTATCAACATTAAAATCATAGCGTGGAGCCTACGCAATGTCGTGAAGATTGTCGTGTGAACATCATA